AGAGCAAAAGTGCAAGAGAGCAATATTGTTAACAATAAAATTTGCAACAATTTTTGTTATAAAAGTTTTCTTATAGCATGCTTCGATTCCCAAGTGTTACCTTTAATAACTTGAAAAAGCAATAAATTCATAAAATTTTTATATTTTCGTATCTCTCTCAATATTGACGCATCTAAGAGCAAAAGTGCAAGAGAGCAATATTGTTAACAATAAAATTTGCAACAATTTTTGTTATAAAAGATTTCTTATAGCAAGCTTCGATTCTCAAGTGTTACCTTTAATAACTTCAAAAAACAATAAATTCATCAAATTTTCATATTTCGTATCTCTTTCAATATTGACGCATCTAAGAGGAAAAGTGCAAGAGAGCAATTTCTTAACAATAAATTTTGCTACAACTTTTATTGTAAAAGGTTTTTTGTAACACTTTGTATTTAAAGCTATCGATTTTTTACCATTGATTCTCCCGACATTTGGTCGGCATAGGTTGGCAACGCTGCCCATTCTAACCTAACTTTCAATCTGATCTTTCAACATCTTTCAATCGCTGTCAATTTGACAGTGTCAAATCATCTTGTTTTGATTTTCGCAAACAAATGGATAGTCAAGTTACAAACGAGGGACATTTGATAGATTTAATAGACGACGATTGGAGAGCAGATAAATTACCAAAAGACGAGATAGACGTTCCTTTGCATGAACTCCCCGACCCGGAAGCAGATTCAAGCGACGCTACTTTAACCTTAAAAGAACAAGAACAGAAGTGGACCGACATAGGTTTAACATCTTTAAGTGAGCTACTATAACTTTAATCTATTAAGAAGATGGAATTCCCAAGCGTGGGGAAACAATGCGACTCTTCAGACTGTAAGCAATTGGATTTTTTACCTTTAACCTGTAAATGTGGTCACCGTTTCTGTCCTGAACACTTTAAAATTCATCTTGAAACATGCGAAACGAACGTTTCGAACGTTGTTGATGAATTAACGCGAATTAAAGATGTTTATCAATGTTCCCAAATTGGTTGTAATAAAACTAGTTTGGTAAAATTTTTTTGTGAAAAGTGTAATAAGAATTTTTGTATCGAACATAGACATATAGAGTGTTCTTATGATTTGGGCAAAGCTGAAGAGTTTAGAAACAAAAATGAAGAGGTTAAAAAACAATTTGAAAATGCAAAAATTTTAGTAAACAAACAGGTTTGTATATAAATTTGAATTAACAACAATTTGATTAAAACTATTATTTTTAGATCGATGAAAATATAGCTAAAGCAAAATTAAAAGGAAAAAATACCCAAAAAATTCAATTAATGCGTTTAAAAGGTAAAGCGGTTGGTTTAAATTCAATTCCAAGTGTGGATCGAGTTTATTTTAACATAACTCACCCCAAAATAACCCCTGAAAAAACTACTGCAATTTTTGTATCAAAAACTTGGACGCTAGGTAAAAAAAGCGACGTAAATGTATTGAAAAATAAATGATTATTTTTTTAGGTCGGGTTATTGATGCAATTGCAGACGAAATCAAAATTACAAATAAAAACAACCAAGCAAATGTTTTAAAATTACGATTATTTAAGAAAGAAACTGGGGAAACGGTTTCAAGTATCATGTCAAAAAAATTAGAGGATCTTTTAAAAGCTGATGAAATTGTTGATGGCGAAGAATTGTTAATTGAGTATGTTTCTGAAGATTGCAAAAATATCAATAATGTTTAAACCTTAATCAATTTATATAAATAAACTTTCTTTTTAACACATTATTATCCATTGATGTATTAATATATTTCATGTCTACAATTACAATAGAGTTTATAAGTTAGGTTTTATTTAGCAATAATTAACGAATTAATTGATTCATTTCCTGTTCACTTTCCTTATAATGGAAGAAGTTGACCTTGAATGTACTAATGTATGTACTATGGACCTATCCCTATTTGCTGCATGGCGTAAGAGACAGAAAACATACTAAACAAATTTCGCAAACAATATTTATTTATTTATTCATATTCGGGACACGTACAGGAAAAAATCCCAAAAAAGTGTCCACTACAATAATATAAAAGAAAAGAAAACAGACTACATAAGAAAGAACAAAAAAAAACTAAAAAATTTATCAAAAGCATGAAAAAAAAAAAAAAATGGAATTAAATCAGCAAGCACGAAGCAGAAAAGAAAATAAACACAGAGACTGGATTGGTCCACATAATCATCGATATTACGCGGATAGAAAAACAGAATAATAAGGACCATAAGAAAGGACAAATTTATGTTGCTTTTCTTTTCTGCCCCACCACCCGCAAGAAATCAATATAAATATGGTAAACGAATGTGTTTCGATCGAGTAAATTAATTTTACAAAGAAAAAACTAATGACAAATACTTAAAGTTAAAACGGATTTTTTAAACGACATCATTGAATTACAAAAGAAATCAACATTGAAACAATAAACATTGCAAGTGTGCATCAGTCTCAACAGAGGTGAACCGGCATGCGCACTAGATCCAGAAGCAGGTAGTCTGAACAAAAATGGTGATCGAGTAGCATAAGAAGGAACATTAAAGTGAATCTGCTCTAAAAGAACCGGAGCGTCGAGAACTCCATTAACTAGTTTGAACAGGAACAATAGGTCCGTACTGTGTCGACGGCCACAGAGAGATCTTAGACCAAACACCTGGCATCTTTGGGAATAAGGGCAGTACGGAAGATAAAATTTGTGAGCAAGATAACGGATAAATGTTCTCTGTAGGCCCTCAATAAGGTCGATGTAAATATTATAGGCAGGACTCCATACTACTGAAGCGAAATTTAAACCGCTAGCAACGTATGCCATATATAAAGAAGTAATGCAGCGGACGTTTGTAAATGGACGAGAAATCCTAATGATAAATCCTAGGCGCTTAGTAGCTTCAGAAACGATAGAAGTAATATGATCGCGATAGAGTAGTCTAGAATCCAGAACAACGCCAAGATCTTTAACTGAAGAGGATTGAGTAAGATAATGCGGACCTATCATATATTTGAAGTTAACATTATATCTCTTTCTACTGAACGTGATCTGACAACACTTATCAGGATTTAGAAATAAGTAATTTTGTGAGCAATAAGAATCAAATCTGTCAATGTCATCTTGCAACCGAATACAGTCAGAAGCAGACCTGATGCTAGCAAAAATTTTACAGTCATCAGCGAAAAGAGAAAAATTCGAATAATGAAAGCACTCAGAAACATCATTTATATAGGCTAGAAATAAAATAGGTCCAAGATGGCTACCTTGAGGTACACCAGATGTAACAGGAGTAAAACTAGATATGAAATTATTTACTTTCACTGCTTGAAATCTCTTAGATATATAGGACGAAATCCATAGAGACAGCCCGTTAGATAGGTTAAACTTGTTCAGCTTATCCATAAGAATGTTATGGTGAAGCTTGTCAAAAGCTTTTGTCAGATCGGTGTAGATAGCATCCACCTGAGAGTTATCATTCATAGAATCCTGAATGTATTGAACAAACGCAACCAGATTCGTCTCAACTGATCGCCCACGCAAAAAACCGTGTTGTTGAGGGATAATAGCAGGTCGAAGATAGCTATATAAGTTGTCATAAATTAATTTTTCAAAGACCTTCGAAACAATGGATAATAGGGAAATTGGACGATAGTTGCACACAAAATGTCTGCTACCCGATTTAAAGACTGGAGTTATGAAGGCTTTTTTCCATTCAGAGGGAAAGACTGAATTTTCAATGGAGCGGCTGAAGATAATGAATAGAGGAGTTGCTAACTCCCCTGCACATTTAGCAATAAAGTGTCCCGGCAAGCCATCGGGGCCAGGGCCCAATTTATGGTCGACTTGTGTCAGAAGGTGAGAGACATCACGTTCAGAGAACCACGGCTGCGATTGGTAAATAACATTTCGCTTGTGAGAGGTATTCAGGCAACCGTCGATATAAACAGAGCTAAAAAACTGAGAGAAAAGTTCAGTTATACGCTTCCCGTCATCCGCCACTTCACCGTTCAGCTCCATTCGAGACGGAATACCGCCGCCACCGCGTCTTTTACTTTTAACAAAAGACCACAAACTAGATGGGCAATCAATCAAGTTACTCTGAACGCGATTCAGATAAGTGCGATAATCAGCAGCAATTAAAGCCTTGGCACGCTTGCGCTGGAAGCTAAAGGAAAGATAGTCGTTTCGATTACCCCATCTCTTCCACTTTTTATGGTATTTCAATTTTTCTTTAACAGATTTAATAGTAGAAGGCGTATACCAGTGAGGAAAACGATTATTACGGGAGAAGCTTTGGGGAACGAATTCATTCATATACCCATACAAGACAGAATAAAAAGTATCAACACAGAGATCTACATCTAACCCACTAAATAAACTGCGCCAATCAACACTTGCCAGCCCACCCCTGAGACCGTCAAAATCCGGTCTCCGTCCGTCAATATAAGACGGACATAACAAGGGCAAAAATTGAATACAACGATAAATACATAAAAGAAGCTAAACATTCCGCCAAAGCTATGTGGCAAATAATAAATAAAGAGACCTAGTAAAGATACAAAAATTAACGTCGATTTTGACCCGGATGAGGTAAATGATTACTTCATTAATGTACCTACCAATATCATCAACACTTTAAACGTCGCAAACGATTTCGAACACCTATTGCATAAGGTAGACTTACAAACATGTCAAAATTTCTTTTTTCAATTGGTCACTTTCATTGAAATGCGTGAGATAATTAATTCAATAAAACAAAAAGTCACTAACGATATATATGGTCTTAATGTAAGTTTAGTAAAAGTTATAAAAGAGTTAAGCCCAATTCCATTAACAAAAATAATTAATCTTTTAATAGATGAAGGCACATTTCCAGATCAATTAAAAACAGCTCTAGTCGTGCCAATATACAAAAAAGGTGACCACAACTGCATTGAAAATTATCGCCAATCTCGCTGCTACCCATTATCTCAAAGATCTTTGAAAAGATATTAAAAAACAGAATAACTGCCTTTTTTGAAAATAATCTATTTACACCATCCCAATTCGGAAAAAACACCACAGATGCAATTGCCAAGTTTGTTGAATATGCAGCCGAATGCTTTGAGAGTGGCAAACATATGATTGGCACCTTCTGCGATTTGAGCAAGGCTTTTGACTGCGTCCAACATAAAATACTACTTCATAAACTGCAAAAGTATAATTTTGATGCAAAAAGTATAAACCTAATTGATTCTTACCTCAAAAATAGAATTCAAACTGTAAAATGTAACGATAATTATTCAAAAAAAAAAGAAATATAAAAGTGGAGTACCGCAAGGCTTCATCCTTGAACCCCTTTTTTCCTAATTTACGTTAACGATTTGCCGATAAATATATTAAATACATCAGTGATTCTCTATGCAGATGATACCACTTTATTAAACAGCGACCAGAACCTGCAGACTGTAACCGATAAATCTGCAATATCACTGTCTCAAGGAGAACATTGGTTCGCATCGAATATGCTTTCCCTAAACCCTGGAAAGACTGTCGTTGTGACCTTTTCATTTCGTCGACAAGCCGATGCCAATACTTCCGCTTCAGGGGATGAACAAAAACCCATAAGATTTTTAGGCATAAATCTCGACAAAAAATTAACTTTTAATCAACTGATGTTGCAATCGAGCTCAGTAGAAATGTTAATGTATTACATATTCTGAGCAAAAACGTATTTTCATCTACGTTAAAAACCGCATATTTCTCTCTGTGCCAGTCTGTTATTGCCTACGGGATACTGGTTTGGGGTGGTGCAGCATCCAGTGATCGAGTTTTTAGACTTCAAAGGAGCGATAAGGATACTTAATAATTTGAAATATAGAGATGACTGTAAAAACTCATTTGTTAAATTAAATATACTAACCTTCCCTTCATTGTATATATTAGAAAATATTTTATACGCAAAAAGTGATCTGTTAGTGTCTGAATATTGCCGGCTCTCCAAGAGCCAGAGGAGTTTCAACTGTTTGTCTCAAATTTTACAACAAATTTCCAGAGAGAATCAGAAGGCTTCCATTAAACAAATTTAAATGTAGTATTAAGTCATTTTTACAGAAAAAGGCCTACTACGCGTGCTCTGAATATTTGACTGACCAGATTATACTGTTGGATTTTAATCTGTAACCTGTGTATGTCTTATGTGTACTTTGAATATTTTATAAGTTTGTTCTTTACTTTTTTGCTTTGCATTGTATGTACCTGACGAGTGTTAATATTTTTTATGTGACACAATATACTTTGAAAACAAATACCCCGCACGGTCGCTTTGCCGAGTACGGCCGAAGAATCGGTGACTGCAGGGCCCGCTCTAGGGGCGGACCATCCGGACATTTGTCCGGGGCGGCAGCTCTAAAGGGCGGCATTTTGACTCAGAATGTGATAAAATTTTGATAATCGAAATTTTTGCTTGTCGATTTTCTACCAATGGAGAGCATGTTGTAAGAGACTGGCTAGTATACTCTGTTTCAAAAAACTGTATTTATTGCTTTTGCTGTAAAATTTTCGGCTGTGTAATCAGTTCTTTTTCAAAAGACGTTAAAAGAACACGAATTTTCAAAAATTATATTGAAGCTCACAAATCATGGCCGGAACTGAGTCAAAGACTAAAGTGTTGTAAAACTATAGATGCAACTGCTCAAAACATTATTAATGCTGATACAAACCATTGGTATGAAGTGCTTCTAGAATCATAGGAATCACTAAAATGCTTGGTAAAAGTTGTCTGGCTTTTCAAGGTACAAGAGATAAACTATTTGAGCATTATAATGGTAACTTCCTAA